TATATTTATCTTGCTCCGAACAAACTTAATCATACTGATAAGATTTAATAGCCTTATCTTTCCAGGCTTTCTGTAGGACACAGTTACAGCAGATGGAAACATAAAAGTGAGTTACAGTGTGTAGTGCAGAGGCCAAAATGGATAAAGTAAATGTAAAAACAAGTATGAACATAGAAAAACTAATACAGAAAAAGAAACCACACTGAATATATACACTGAACAAAAATATAAACGCAACACTTTTGTTTTTGCTCCCATTTTTCATGAGCTGAACTCAAAGATCTAAAACATTTTCTATACACACAAAAGACCATTTCTCACAAATATTGTTCACAAATCTGTCTAAATCTGTGTTAGTGAGCACTTCTCCTTTGCCGAGATAATCCATCCCACCTCACAGGTGTGGCATATCAAGATGCTGATTAGACAGCATGAATATTGCACAGGTGTGCCTTAGGCTGGCCACAATAAAAGGCCACTCTAAAATGTTCAGTTTTATCACACAGCACAATGCCACAGATGTCACAAGTTTTGAGGGAGCGTGCAATTGGCATGCTGACTGCAGGAATGTCCACCAGAGCTGTTGTCCGTGAACTGAATGTTCATTTCGCTACCATAAGCCGTCTCCAAAGGCGTTTCAGACAGTTTGGCAGTACATCCAACCCGCCTCACAACCGCAGACCACGTGTAACCACACCAGCCCAGGACCTCCACATCCAGCATGTTCACCTCCAAGATCGTCTGAGACCAGCCACCCGGACAGCTGCTGCAACAATCAGTTTGCATAACCAAAGAATTTCTGCACAAACTGTCAGAAACCGTCTCAGGGAAGCTCATCTGCATGCTCGTCGTCCTCATCGGGGTCTCAACCTGACTGCAGTTTGTCGTCATAACTGACTTGAGTGGGCAAATGCTTACATTAGATGGCGTCTGGCACGTTGGAGAGGTTTTCACTGTTCAGGGCAGATGGCAGACAGCATGTGTGGCGTCGTGTGGGTGAGCGGTTTGCTGATGTCAACGTTGTGGATCGAGTGGCCCATGGTGGTGGTGGGGTTATGATACGGGCAGGCGTATGTTATGGACAACGAACACAGGTGCATTTTATTGATGGCATTTTGAATGCACAGAGATACCGTGACGAGATCCTGAGGCCCATTGTTGTGCCATTCATCCACAACCATCACCTCATGTTGCAGCATGATAATGCACGGCCCCATGTTGCAAGGATCTGTACACAGTTCCTGGAAGCTGAAAACATCCCAGTTCTTGCATGGCCAGCATACTCACCAGACATGTCACCCATTGAGCATGTTTGGGATGCTCTGGATCGGTGTAAACGACAGCGTGTTCCAGTTCCTGCCAATATCCAGCAACTTCGCACAGCCATTGAAGAGGAGTGGACCAACATTCCACAGGCCAAAATCAACAGCCTGATCAACTCTATGCGAAGGAGATGTGTTGCACTGCGTGAGGCAAAAGGCAAAGATACTGACTGGTTTTCTGACCCCCCCCCCAATAAAGCAAAACTGTACATTTCAGAGTGGCCTTTTATTGAGGCCAGCCTAAGGCACACCTGTGCAATAATCATGCTGTCTAATCAGCATCTTGATATGCCACACCTGTGAAGTGGGATGGATTATCTCGGCAAAGGAGAAGTGCTCACTAACACAGATTTAGACAGATTTGTGAACAGTGTTTGAGGGGAAATGGTCTTTTGTGTGTATAGAAAATGTTTTAGATCTTTGAGTTCAGCTCATGAAAAATGGGAGCAAAAACAAAAGTGTTGCATTTATATTTTTGTTCAGTGTAGATCCAGAGAGTTGGGGCGTGTCTTCATGATACTCGAGTCACTTTACAGATCAGGATAAGAAAATCATTAAAGAGAAAAAAAAAAACACATAAGAAGACAGAAACTTATCTTAAAGAAATAAAGAATACCTGAATGGTTGTAATGTCCACCATCCAACTCTCCCATCTTTTCAAAGACATGTCCTGTTGCAGTGTAACAGAAGAAGTAATCCTCTCCATCCTACAGATTTCATATACTGTATAATGTCAATCCAATCATCGGCTGTAATTTTTTTCCACTTTGTATAAATGGCTTTCCTGCTGGCTGCACTTCGGATCCAAAATCAATATCTCTCATGAGAGGGAACCTGTCCAAAGACACAATATAGGATCTCTAGCTTCAATAGAATGTCCACGTTTCCTTTTTGTAGCTTCAACCTGTCACTCAATTAAGACAGAGGTTTAAAGGGTACATTCCTCTGTGGTGTCTCTGCTGACCACTCAGACATCTGAAACATAAAGCTGATATTAGACAGATATTTTTAAGGCATCACAGTCAAAAAACACTGGTTTAATTTGGGCTGGATTGACAACCGGGCGAAGCCTCAAGGCCTCAGACCCTCAGGGACCTCAGCAGCTCCATCTTCATTATATCAGCTGGTCTGTAATAATCGGATATTGTAGATTTGTTTTGGAAAATGTGGCACTGACACTGATGATCAGCTGTTATGATTCTGTCTGTGGATGGTCCTGTAATAGATTTGTTTTTCATCCAGTGACTGGGTGGTCAGCAGCAGCTCATCTCTGCCCTGCGGCGTCCCGCTGGGTCGATCTGGAAACTGAAAGGAGGATTCTGAAATATTCTGCTGCTTATTAGCCAAATGCCTAAAATGTCAGTGAAGGTATTTTTGGACATTGACAGCTCTGAGGATGACTTACACTGAGGCTGGTCAGGCCTGCAGGTGGTGCTACTGCCATCTTGTGGTCACTGCTTCAAACATCTGGAAGCAAAACTCTGTGAAACCTTCACCTGCTTTATGGAGAGAAGCTTCACCTGCAGCAAACAGGTGGGAAAAGAAACTCTGGGAATCAGAGCAGGAGATAAAAAAGGAATAAAGAGCTCTGAGCACCAGCGTTTGACGCTGTGTGGACGAATTAACACTAATTATACACACATCTGGTCCTGTGAGGAGACGAATGTGGGACAGCCTTTAGACACATTTAGTTTATGAGATCCCTGAGAGGAGCAACATGTTGTGTCTCTGATTGATAACAGAAGAAGAAGCTCTAAGAATTTATCTGAAAAAACAAAACAAAACAAATGACTGGCTGTGAGCAAAGAAGCAACATTTAAAAAAGCAGATGGACACAGTGAGGGACGTTCACATGCTTTGATGATCTTCTCCTCATCTCTTGTATAATACATATATCAACTGTTACACGTAAAATGTGACAAGGAAAAAGGTGCAACATTTTAACTCCCTGGGACCGGTTGCACAAAACACCTTAAGTATGACACAGGCTTTATTCCTCTGTAGCTGAGGGACTTACAAAGTTGCACACAATCCCTTTAAGGTTTTCTTGGTTAAGTAAAAACTCATTTACTGCAGTAAAAGTTTCCATGGAGATTGTTTGTTTGCTTGGACTCACGCTTGCACCGCCTGTTATCGTCTCACAGAGTTAGCTCATAGTTCGATAGTGAAAAAATGTCAGAAGAAAAGAAGACAACAAAACTGTACTGGTCAAAGGAGGAAAAGATGAAACTTCTGGAAGAATAGTCATGGAAAGAACAAACAACAAAGTAGATCTGATCTCTAAATATAGAAAACAGAAAACGACTGTAGGAAGAAACTGCAACGAAAATTAATCCTGGTCACAGAACACTCTTCTCACTTCTTACTCCCACTCTGGAAACTTACTGAAACTAAACAAATAATAAAGAATGATAAAAAAACAACAAAAAAACAAAAAAGAACAAGAATCATTGCCTGTGGTTGTATGACTCCGCGCACCATTTCCACCCAAAGTGTCTCTGACAGTCTCCATCCATGTCAGTGAAAACATGGATGCTTCACACACAGAAGATCTATACAATCAGCATAGTGTCAAGATTAGTCACCAATTCAGTATCTGACCAAATGTCTCCCCTTCTGTTCCTGAGATATGACTGATTAAAACATGATGATGACACAGTCAAGCTGACCTTTGACCTTTTGACCTTCACTATTTTATCCTGTTAAACATTTGTGTCAAGTTTTGTCATAGTCATAGTTAGTGTCTTCAGTTATGGCCAAAAACATGTTTTGTGAGGTCACATTGACCTTTGACCTTCGATCCACCAAATTCTAATCAGTTTATCGCTGAGTGCAAGAGGACGTTTGTGCTAAATATGAAGAAATTCTCTCAAAGCTTTCTTAAGATATCACGAAATTCACAAAATGAGATGAAGACTGACACAAGGCCACAGTGAACTTTGACCTTCAACCAGGAAAGTCTAATCAGTTGAGTCCAAGTGAATGTTTGTGCCAAATTTGAAGAAACTGCGTTCACGAGAATGCGACAGATGAGGTCACAGTGACCTTGAACTTTGACCATCAATTTCAAATCAGTTCATCCTTGACCCAAAGTGGATGTTTGTGCCAAATTTGAAGACATTCAGGGCCCTCATTAGATATCGTGAAATTCACAAAATGAGACAGAGATTGATTCAAGGTCACAGTGACCTTTGACTTTTCACCTATGACCACCGAATTCTAGTCAGTTCATGGTTGAGCCTAAGGAGACATTTGTGCCAAATTTGAAGAAATTCTCTTAAGACGGATGAGGTCACAGTGACCTTGAACTTTGACCTTCGACCACCAAACTCAAATCAGTTAATTCTTGACCCAAAGTGAATGTTTGTGCCAAATTTGAAATTCTCTCAAGATGTTCTTGAGATATCACATGGGAGGGAAGGACGTCCATATGTAAAGACAACTTGAAAACATATCGCTATTGCCGACACAAAGGAATAATACAAATTAAAACTTATAAAAATACAAAACTATAATAACTACTCTAGGAGACAGAAACACAAATGTGTTTCTCAGATTTGGAAAAACAAATGAAAATGACACATCTAACTGTTGCTGTGTTTCAGTCTCCAACCTGCAGAAATAATAACAGCACTGTTAAGTCTTTAAATGAAGGTATAAAGAATGACTCAGAGCTGGTTGTTTTTGACAGATGGCATTTATTCTCACCAAGGCATCTGACATTAGAATCGCTACAGAGTCCGCCACTTGGGAATGGCTGCTAAAACTCCAGAGTGGGAACGCCCGGGATATGTGGAACAGGGACAGCATTACAAACAAAACGAAGATGAAAAAAAAAAAAAAAAACTAACCGTAGGCCACTAAACACAATCTGCCACATCATTGGAGGAAAAACTCCGTCCAAAGCGTCAAAGCTTGTCAGTCTTCCGTCAATTCTGGTCCTCTCGGCTCTCGTGTGAGACTGTGCTCAGATCAGTGGTCCCACAAAACTAACATTCAGTCAGATTTTTCTTTTAAATACATTGTTTACATACATCAGATATGTACTTGAAGAAACGCCTACAACTGCTGTTTGACCGAACATTCAGAAGTGACAGCACACAAACACGTCGGTTACATGACGGAGACCACAAGCGTCTCCAGGAAGGCCCCACAAGGATCAGAACTGGGAGACAGACGTGGTTAGGCTCACGACACAGGCAGAGTCTGAAGGCCTCTCCTCTCCGAAAACAAAAAAAGAAGATACCATTACACATATATACAAACACGCTGCCCGATGAGGAGCGGACCTCACCCGGAGTCCATGACAAGAAGCCCTCTGATAGGGTGGAGAGAAGGTGAGCACGTGACGTAGCAGCATGGGAGTTAGACGACGGTGACTCAGTAGTGTGGGATCAGTGAGTGTTAACAAGAAGAGCGAACATACGCTTTACATACGATGAAATATGAACAACAAGTGTAGAATATCCTCAAACGCTGAACCTGCTCACATTCACAAAGGATTACGTGTTTCTCAAAGACTGTGGCGGTTTCACAAGTGCTCAAGAGTTCGACATTTTGGGAAACACTTCTGCTGGAGAGTCAGATGAGAAGTGATACCAGCTACAGTCTGTTAGCTTAGCTTAGCATAAAGACTGGAAGCGAGTGGAAACAGCTAGCCTGGCTCTGTCTGAAGGTAACTAAATCTGCCGAGCAGCTCCTCCTCCGCTCCCTAGTCAAGTCATTAAATATTGCTGCACAGCTGTCGCAAGCTTTTTCCATAGACTGTGTAAAAGAATGGTCGTAGCTCCCGTGATGTCACCCATTGGTTTGTGGTGTCCCATTTTGTGGCCTTGCGTTTGGCATTTTGGCCTTTGCCATCTTGGTTTTGAAGCCAGAAATGATCATATTTGAACAAGAGGGTGGAGCTGTGGAGGAGTGAGGAGTGGAGCTGACTGAGAAGCTGAGGAGCCTGTCACTCAAAGAGGCCCTGCCCTTAATTATGCATAACTTTAAGCCTTAATAAAGTATTAACAGGTGAGTTATATAAAAAATTCAGTCTCTGTACAGTTGTTAAGAATGCTGAAATTAGCTAAAGAGACCAAAACTGTTTTTTGGTACCAGGCTGTAAACGTGTTTTTTTCTGCTGTAAAGTTGGCTTCATTTCATCAGCCTTGGAGGTTTCGCTTGGTAGCCTACTGCCCTACAACCAAGAGGCTACGGCCATATTAGCATCTCTGTGAGGCTGCAATTAGTCAGACTGCTACTTAAAGCTAAATGCTATGTTGGCATGCTAACATGCTGATGTTGAGCAGATTTAATATTTACCATGTTTGCGATCTTAGCCTCATGTGTTAGCATGCTAACCAGTGGTGAAGTGGAGGGTCTACCTACCTATCAGCCAAAGAGCCACAGGAACATACAGGAGAGTATACCTACTTCCTCTGTTTTTGTACCAGGGTGTCAACATGTTTACATTTTAACATGGGGGTCTGTGGGGACTGACTCGCTCTTGGAGCCAGCCTCAAATTGGAACTGCAGTTTTTAAGCTTCATTTTTCAGCCTCTGAGGTTGATGCTTGTTTTTTTTTTCTGGACACTCCCACAGTTACTTCAGTTGTTCCATCGCTCACCACCACCGGTTGCTGGGATAGTGACTGCAAGGACCTCACTCTGAAACACTTTGGTAACTGGGGATAGCTACCGGGCCCCCAGGAATAGTGTTGGGCTATGAAGCCAATTTCACATTGTGGCCTGATAGCATAACAACAACTTTCAGGTCTGTCTGTAACATCTGTAAATCCTTGAATAATTTTTTTTGAGCTTCACCACCCCCGAGAATTGAGTCAAGATTTGACCCATTTGGTCTGACAACTTCTTGAAAGACCAAGTTAGAAGCACGGGAGCAACGCTGTGGAAGATCCAGGTGACTTTATAACTGGGAAGTCAAACTTTTTTGGTTTCATGTGCCATGGAGCAACTTTCAAAGGAATGAACAAGGCCCCATTATATCTAGTTCTCTTAACACATCTATCAAGGTCTATCTTCTTCCTGTTTTTGGTTGCACAATGATTAATGCACTTCTTTGCCTTAATTTTCTTCCCAAGATATTACACTCACACTTATTCTATCCAGTGAACACTTACTTTATAAGTTAAAGTCATAAACTTTGTCTATATTTACTTTGATCCAAACAAAAACCAAAGTGTAGAAATGGAGTTAAACCCACAAATTGTTATTTGAACACTTTGGGTTTTGTACAGATTAAACAAACGAGATTCAGCATGTTCACCCGTGAGCTTCAGACCTGCACACAGTCAGATTTTCTTCCCAGAGACAGCAAGCTGTTTCCCTGTTTCCAGTCTTAATGCTAAGCTAAGCAGCTGCTGGCTGTATATTTAACAGACAGATACGAGAGTAGTTTCTTCAAACTCCCAGCAAGAAAGCAAATCATCATTTTCCCCAAAATGTCGCACTGCTGCTTTACAGTGAGACTGTTACTGTACAGTGTGTTCTGTTCACGGTGCAGTGCAGGACAGCAAAGACGACAGAGTGCACAATTTTGGTCGCTGATCTTAAACAGCTGCAGGAATTGAGGAGCACAGAAGCAGGAGAGGGACGTTAAGGGGAACGGTGATTTGTCTTATTCACATACAGTAAAGCCACTTTTTGTTATTTGGGGGGAGACAGAGCATAGGGCGGGGCTGGTGAAGGTGCGGGGGGACATTAGTTCTGCTTCAAGTGCAGAGAAACAATCCAAAGAAATTGGAGAACTGGGGTTGTGAAGACCAGCTACCAACCCGTTAGCTCTGCCACACTTTTCTCCTCCAACACTCAGCGTCCTGTCGCTTTTATTCTAATCTAACGCTGCTGAACTTTTCCTGGTTAATGTGTGTCTGCAGGTGGACTTCATCCTGATGCAGCACTGAGCAGAGCTGAGCAGCAGAGATATTTTCTACGAGTGTGTTTTAAATAAACATCCTGTGAGTTCTTATCTCCACGGTGACGTATCGTCTACAGCGCAAGAGAGAAAAAGATGCTGCAGAGAGTCGTTAATGACACAGAGAAGTGAAACTGATCATCACGACTCTCTGAGCACACAGACTCTAACAGAGGAGTGATTGTGCTAGTTTGTGTTGAGATGAGATTACTTCCTGTTGGCTCAGTCATGAAGGTTACATGGCGTGGAAGGTGTGTGTTTAAGGAGTCAGCATTGGAGAAATTAGGGGTCAAAGTGCAGGGCAGCAGCATCACTAGATGCTGTTAGTGTCAGTTCAGGCATCAGTTACTGGCCACCTCGTCCACATTGTCAGTCGCCTCTAAAGTGCTGTCCAGTCCACCACGTGCACGCCAGATCTTCACAGTCCGGTCACTGAAACACAGGAACACAAAACATGAAGGAAATTATAATCCAGACGCAGTCAGATAGCAAGACGCTGCGTAGGTGCGTTAGCTGGCTAACTGATGTCTCATTTGTGAGAGACAGAGAAAGTAGGGCATGGAGGGGCGGATTTCACCCATTTTAATTAGTAAAAAAATCAATATGTGGTGGTCCGTGTTAATATTGATGGATTATTTGACTCATTGATTTTCAGGGGGCAGCCCTGCTAAACGCCTAAGTAAGCATGTGCTGGTGTGTGCTGGTGTGAGACTCACTCGGAGGCGGTGAACAGGTGGCTGCTGTTGGTGGAGATGCCGGTGATGGGGCTCTCGTGGCCCTTCAGCTCCCCCAGAGTCCCCAGTGTGTCCGTGTGCCACAGCTTGAGCACCCCGCCTCTGCAGCCGCTCAGCAGGGCCGGGGACCCGGGGACGACTCCCAGCGCACAAACCCAGTCACGGTGCGCATTCGGGACTTGCTGTTGGAGAGAAGAATGAAGGTTTGCAAAGTTTTGAGAATCATTTCAGCAACCTGTTGCTGCAACTGCATGAATCCCTCAGTTTCTTAAACTTCACCCTGACGTATGAGAGGACTGGTGCTCTCAGACGAAGTAAACAAGTCTCTCAACAAACAACAAAACAAACCTCTCACTGACAATATTGTTAAAATCTGAAACTCAACATTAAATTATAAAACTTAATGTTCAGTTTTTAAAGTTTTCTCCAACTCTGTTCTTTCAAAATGTGGTTCAAAACTTTTTTGTTTGCCGTGACTTTATATTTAATTAAATTTGCATTATTTATTTCATAACTCTCATATTTTTCTGTTTATTCTATTTCATTGAGATGAATTTGAGCTCATTTATTATTTAGATATCTTTTCTTTAAACCTTTTAATGATGCACAAATAAACCCACCTTATCTCATTTAACCAAGAAGCCAGACCTGAGCGCCAAAGCAAACACCTAAATATTTCATAGCACCCTCCTCAATCTATCTAATATATCTCTATATCCACCATCTCACTGGTCCAGTACCTGCAGCAGGTCTTTGCGGTCCAGGTCCCACTTCTTGATGCCGTTGTCTCGAGAGCCGCTGAAGAAAATGTCCCCCTGGACCACCAGCGACTCAATGCCATCATAATGGGGGGGTTCAAAGTTGTGTGTGGGGCCGATGCTCCCCAGAGAGCCTTCAGTGACGTCAAACAGCTGCAAGAGACACAACACTGCACGTTAAACTGTGTCACAGATACAGATACAGTACAGCTTTAATGTGCCTTTTGTTGTGAAATCTAACATTCAAACTTTGAAACCACAGCAGCTCTGTATTTTATTATACTGAAGATAATCATCCTGTTTTATTTGTGTATACTGGAGCTTCAATGGGACCCGTTTGGCTCATTTTCAGGTTGTTGTTTATAGTTGTATTTAAGGTTTCTACTAGAACATGTTTGCCTGCTTCAATGTTCTAAAAACACTTTATTTTCCTCGTCCTGTCTGTGCTGGAACAGCTGTATTTAATCTCTGTCTGAGATGCTCCGTTTTTGCGCCTGTCTCTTTAAGCCCCCTCCCAAAAAAGTATGCTCTGATTGGTCGGTGTTTCTAGGTCTTCTGCATCTCGGCATCCCTGCACCATCAATGCAGCCGAGGAATGACTGTGATGGAAAACAGCGGCACACAATAAAAGCATCTAAACAAAACTGGACATGTTCCTGCAGGAATATGATCCGAAGTCGGGGAGAAAGGGATGGGAGACTTAAGACTTATTTCAAGTTAAGGTTGGTTTTTAAAGACAAGTGGAGGAGGGAAAGTAATTTGGCATCTGTCTACGATCGCACCGAGCAGCTGGTGAACTGGAGTCTGAGAGTTGGAAGGAGACAGTGTGATTTTACACCAGACTAACTTACCTGTTACTAGGCTGAATGGTGGGTTACTGTCTAAACTAGTCTGGCTGTATTGAGAAGTTTTAATGGTGGTTTAATCTCACAACAGTTTTTCCTGACTGTTGCCAAAGTTTAGGGCAAACACTATGGTTACCTGACTGTCCATGACGGCAGGTTACAAGGAAAGTTCAGGGGGAAGGGGCAGGAGCTTTTGTGGTCTTGCAGAATTTAAACTTGGATGTGTGATGTCATGGGCCAAATTTAAAAACTTAAATATAAAATTAGAAAAAGAAATAGAAGAAAATGTCTTGCAAAAAAGGCACTAGTCTAGTCAGAGGACAAATCTGTGCACCTGCTGCTAGACAGAAAATAGTACAGAAAAAGTATACTAGGTCCCCTTTAAGTAACTTATATTTTGAATTTTTGAATCATATTTCAGAATCATGTCCAGGTTTTCTTTGACAGGCCTCACAGGAAACACTGAGGTGACGGAGACACACCTTGATGTAGTGGTCTTTGGAGCCGGTGATCACCAGGTCCTGGTTGCTTCCGGACTGATCCACAGTCAGACACATGACTGGACCCAGGTGACCAGTCAGCTTCCCTGTGGATGCAAATCTGACACAGAGACACAACAGATTAATTCAACCAGCGGCTTCAGTCTTTATATCACGATGCATACAATGCCAACACTGTTTTACTTGATAAATAATTCTCTCCTGATAAAAAGTGTCATGTGGGTAAACAAAGTTTGGATGAATGGAGTTGGGAGCGTTCAGTCTCAGTTCATATTGATTCAAAGTTATTTCAATCATCCAGGCTGCTGATTATAATCAGGTTTTACTCTCTAAGAGGAACAATTCATCACAACGTGTCCTGGCTGCAGCTAAATGATGGACGACAGCTTTGGATTGGATCCTGTCAGGTGTCACAGTGAATGGCAAAAGAAATTGGGCTGTGAATTAACTGACGGTGTGTTGAGTGAGGATGTGGTGATAATACGGAGAATAAAAAACAGACTGCCGACATTGTTTCATGCAAAACTGGACTTTAACACAATGTGTGTCAGATATGGAGACATTTTTTGAATCAACATTTTCTTTCAGTAATGATGAAGTTTTATAATAAATTTGTGGATTTTCACTGAATAATTTAATTGAATTTTTGAATCATTTTTTTTGGCTTCGGCCTTTATTTGACAGGGCAGTACTGAATCGTGAAAGGGGGAGAGAAAGAGGCGATGACAGGCAGCGAGGGGCCACAGGCTGGAACCAAGCCCGCTGTGGCGAGGTCATTGCTTTTGTACATGGGATGCCCGCTCCACTCACAGAGCTATCGGACACCCCGGTCCACTTACTTAATTTTCAACAATTCTCAAATTTCAAATGAAGTAAATGGTGATGATATTCCATTAATATTTAGAATCTTAGCATTAATATTAAAACTACTGGAGGCTGACAGGAATGTGATCACTGAGGTTTAGAGGCATCCTGACATCAGTCAGTCAGTCCGCCCTGTCCCGCCTGCAGTTTGTTCAAAATGAAGCATGAAGACTCCTTACTGGTACCAGAAAGAGAGACCATAACTCCCTGGTACTGGCCTCTCCTCACTGGTTACCAGTTTGAAATACAGAAATAACACACACCTGCTCACATCTTAAGACCCGCCTCTTTCCTGTAGCCTTTTAAGTATCATTAGGAAAAGACACCTGTCCACACTGCTTAACACATGGATTTTATTTTGTTGTTTATACAATGTTATTTCTCTGTTATGATTTTGTCCTAATATTTTATGCTCATATTCATTTTAATTACATTCTCCTATTTATGGCTGTTTTTATTTGATCCATCCTGTGTTTTTTTTTCTTTTTTCTTTGTGAAACACTTTGGTCGACATTTGTTGTTTTTACATGTGCTCTATAAACTGCTACAAATGTGAGCCTAAAGCCTTAAACAATGGATGGACATAATCAAGAAGATCTTTACAATGGAAAAGATTTATTTTCCCCTGAGGTCTACGGAAATAATATATTCCCCAGGAAATGGGAAACATGGGCTGTCTTTATTTCAGAAGACGTGGATGCAGCTTTAGTGTGAATGTCTGTGGACAACAAAAGGACATTTCTGATGGGGAGTCATGTATACTCAACTGGTGCATGGCCACAGAGAGTTCTCTATGGCAAAAATACTTTAAATAAAGAGTTTTAATTTTTTTTTAAAAAAAGTGTGTGCTCTATGAACAAATCTGACTTGCCTTGACATGAACCCAAAGTGTAAAAGTAACATAGAAATCTTGACCCGCTGTTGGAGCGGATCACCAAACTCATTCAGAGTCCTCCTCTGGGACACCGACTGAACGTACAAAACTTCATGACAAGTCAACAGTTATTAAGATGTTTCACTATCGATCCCTAAAAACACTACAGAGGCTGAAAACACACCAAACACATCTTCAGTTGTCACACACCAAGTTTTCCTGACAAGGTTTTTAAATTCCTCTGCTCACCTTCGCAGGTCCCAGACTCTGACTGAGTTCCCGGCGGCGGCATACAGAACCGTTCCGTTGGGGTTGAGAGCGATCTGGTTGATCTGGTTCTCTCCTGCTGGGATGGTGACGGTCCGGCTGGTGTTGGCCGAACAGACGTCCCCAACATTCACCTGACCAGAGGACCTGAGGACACACGGACGACACATGAATCGATCTGTAGCGAGTGATTCCCACACTGCCAAGACTTTCAGGGTGTAAACTACAACATACTTTGGTTCAGATGTGACTTTATTGACAGATTTATTTTGAAGTAACTTAGTTAAGAAAAATCCTTAAATATATAGATGGTTTTATTTCACTCTAAAGTCATAACAAGTTCTGCTGAGCACTGGATAAAATTCATTTCAGTCTGCAGCCTGAGACCCATTGAGACAGTCAAACTCACGTTAGCACTCGGATGCACTTGGCCGAGTCTCGGATGTCCCAGACTTTGATGTAGGACGTGGAGACGGTGAAGACCAGACTGGAGCTGTAGCGGACTGACACCACGTTGTTGGGGTGACCAGCCAGGGACATTATCTCCTGACCCGTCACCAGATTCCACACCTTACAGGTCCGGTCTGTGAGAAGACACACAGTCTGACATCATCCATCTGCTACTTATCCATCGTCAGTGTTTAACTACAGTAGATGTCAGTCAGTGTGCCTCCAGTTTAGAGAAGCAGACTGGAGTCTGACACAGAAGCTGAGAAATGTACTGCTGTGAACCGTCGTGTGACTTTGATGTGTTAAGGCCCAATAACACCAAACCAACTTCAGAGAACTAGCCAACTCGCTCCTCGCCTCATGGTGCCTGTGTCACGGCCAAAACCTTGGACATGAGCACACCGCAAAGACAGACAACAGCCAACCAGCACGTATGGTTTATACCTGCATGAGAGGAAATAACCATATACAGCCATATTCTCAGGAGATGGAGGTGGCTGCAGTTTTGAGCCAGGCGCTGCAGTTGCAGTTGTGCTCCAGTCACTCCACTCTCCAGTTAGATTTAAAACAGTTGGAGACTGCAATCAAACTGATATTTTAACATACCAACATCAGCTCTAACAGGAAGTGAGTGTCTCTGACTGAAGGCTGCTGGAAACTGGCGGGAAACTGTCTGACTTCACGGCAGCTTTTAGTCACCGCCTCCTGCTGCAGCCGCCTGATCTCGTCTACTTTCCATACGTAGTTCATCTTGAATGAGCATATTGTCTTCCAGAAAGGGAAACAGGAAGAGCGTCTTGATGCTAGTTAGCCAGTTAGCACATTAACAACACAATCAGAGCATATTTACCGTGCGCCAGTGAACAATAACACAAACCATCAGGAAACGTTTCTGCTAAAGAGAAAAATAATCTGACCTTATGGAACAAGTTGGTTTTGGTCTCACTCCCTCTGGACTTTAGCTCCTCCTTTACTCACTGACGCTTCTCTGCTCCTCACCTGAGCTCAGCTCACAGTCAGAGGGAGGTCATTCACTAACAGCCCCTGTTGTCTCTGCACACACACCCCTAAAGACTAGGGTGACAGATGCTCACCAATGACCCACAGCCAACTGTTGTCTTGGTGCAGCAGAGCCTTTGAAGGGTTTCAGATTCACCAAATACTGGATGGATGCTGTTATATGGATATAACAGCCTCAGTTCTCTGTCAGACTGTCTGACAGTACAGCAGTGAAAATATTCTAAATACAGCCTCTGATTTAAATGGTATTGTGGCTTAAACACGTTTTGCTGTTGCCCCTTCCACAGCAGAACATCGCTCAGCTTCTGTGTCACTGCTCCAAACTATCACAGTGTGAGCACACCGACCGCCGTCTACTGCGGGTAACACACTGACCATGGATAAGAACCTCAGACAACCCCACTGAAAAAACTCCAAACTATCTCTTCAATGATACCAAAACAGAACAGAAATTAAAAATAAGAAGCTCTTTCCCATCTAGTTGACTGCTAATTAATTTTCCTCCATTAATCATCATGAAAAGCTCCTTCACAATAAGAGTCTTACTGTTTGTATGATGTCATTTTATTGCATCACTTCATTTACCCGCATTGTGCATATGACAATCTTAATTAATCCCTGTCAGCTTTTATTTGCTGTAATAAAAGCATAGCAGCAAGTCAGAGTGTAATAAATCAGCAGTAACAGGTTGACGGGAGGAATACCAATGAGGCAGAGAGGATATTGGGTATTAACCTTTGGATCCGGTGAAGAGAAGGTCATCAGTGCAGTCGACACAGAGAACAGCTTTACTGTGTCCCTCTGCCACGTGGACGCACTGCAGCGTCGCTGAGCGGCTGCTCTTAGTGGCCGGCACCGGGTTAATGACGCCCCTGGAAAACACACACACATCTGTATCAGTACACACACACGCACACTCTGGACAAAACGCTGTGTAATAATCTGAGAGCAGCACAGACACAAAGTCATGCACAGCATGCAGCTCTCGCGGCTGATGAGCACGATGCTGCAAATCAAAAATAGAAAGAGATGACGAGAGCAGCTCAGAGAACAAATGAGGGGACAGCTGTGAAGAGACACAGACACCTTTACTGAAGAAACCCTGCACCACCCGGAGCTGCTCTGTTCCAGCCCATAACAGATTCCCACACCCAAAGAGACAAAGACAGATAATCAGTGGAAACCAGCGGTGTCAAATCATCAGAGACCGCAGGGTCAACAGCATCACAGGAACACAGATCGATCACTAAGTGGCTGGTCGTGAAGACAAACTGGTGTCTGGTAGTGTAAATGTACGACCACTGCTCTCTGACAGGAGCAGCGATCAGCGTCAGGGCAGTAGCGGGATGAGCGGAAGGAGTACCACAGATCCACACATCGATATTCAGGAGTTTGGAAAGAATGAGCTCTAAGACCCGCTGAGTGCAGAATAAAAGACTCACTGAAATAAAACAAGACTGATTAAAAGGATTACTGAGGGTCCAGACTCAACAGCTGTAACAAGATTAACAAGATGCCACTGTTTGGGTTTATTGTAATTATCTATTGATCCCACAATGTTCCTACATCCTTTGTTTCTAACCACATTATCTGTTCATGTCGGGTTAATCTAGTGTTCTGTGAGAGTGGGATGAAGCTGCTGGGAGAATCTGGTGTAATAAGACGTCCTGTTTCCCCACAGCCACGCTCAGAGTCTCAAAATGTGTCGACACAAACAGTGAATGAAGGTCATGAGGAGCAAAGGATCCACACCACGTGCGTCTGTGCTTCAGTTTCACCAAATGTGACATTTTAATGAGCCGTGTGACAAATAAAAAAGACAAACTGTTGTACTTGGGCGGGTCGGAGAGAGGAGGGGACGCAGAGCGCAGGATGTGTTTGGACGACAGGTGGAGGCGTCCATTGGTCCTGGAGCAGAGAGAGGATCCAAAATTCCTGAGAAGCTGCGGACTTATACTTGGCATTTCCAACCAACCAACAAAATAAAGAACACACTATGTTTACAGAGATGGGTTAACTGTCACCAGCGAGTCTGTTTAAATGGATTTTTCCTTAAATTCAATACAGCTGAAATGAAAGGAATATAACGGCCACACGGACGGTGGAAAACAAATCTTCAGTCCTACAGTGCGCTTTGCAAAATAATCAGCGATGTGCTTTTAATGAGTCGAGAATTATCCAACAAATATCATGATAAACCACAAGTATAGTCTCCTACTGTTTAAGGACACTTTGCTGAACTAAATGACTTCAGCTACAACATAACAATCAAAATGAAAACAATACTTCCTTGTGACACTGCAACATTGGAGTGTGTATCAACAGATTTCTACAGTAACTCAGGACGTAAGGCAGCGTTCGACAGATTTGGGAGAGACATGCTCTCGCTCCTCTTCAGCATCCCTCCTTCACTCTAATCTGATTAGAGTAATCTGGTTCTTACTTATCCTGCAGGACATTAGCAGCACGCCACAGACACCCTGTCATACGGCTCGATGCAGCGATGTGGTTACTAGGACGAGCAGCGGTGGGGGGTACAGGAAGTGGTGGGCTGCTGTTCAGGTTCCTGATGATGGGGCCGGGGAGGAAGACAGTACGGCTGCCAATTAAGCTGCAGCATAATTAAAGTGTGCGCTGAGCTGTTTACACACTTCTGGCAGGAGTGTGGGAGGACTGCACGGAGACAGACGGGAGACGCATATGCTGCATTCACGTCATATGGAAGAAAGTGTCAGGACAGTTTGACAGGAAGGAGTTCTGATTCATCTGAAGACATGAAGATGACTTAACAGAGGTTTCCTGTTCCACGTCCTTCACTAGGTTTGGAGATGAATTTCCTGCTTCACCAGAGCTCCACAAAATATGTCTTTGTACATTTCACAGCAGGTTATTCAACATTTCTTATTTATTCAAAAGCCTGACATTTCCAACGGATCAACCTTCACAACAGCCTCTCTCCTCAGCCCCTTTAACGTCGTCAAGATACAACATTTGTTTTAGTGCTTTTCACTGTAACGAGAAAATCAGCAGCTTCAATCGAACTGAAGCCGAGATAGTCTGAGGCTGTGAGGCTTTAATGCCTACACACTGGAGCTGTCTGCAACACCAGTTTTGGGGAATCAAAGCTTCATTGAGGAATATTTTCAACTAATCGAAGCTTGTCGATTTGCGACAGCTGAAGCATAGAAGCATTCGGCTCAGCCCTCATACACACTACTGACTGTACAAAAGAAGTGGATGTGGCCATCCTGATGTCACACATTCATTTTTGGACGTCTGTTTTAAATCCTCGAATCTGGCTTTTGGTCGTCATGATCTTGGATTTCTGAAGCCAGAAGTGACCATATTTGAACGAGAGGGTGGAGCTGTGGAGGAGCGAGGGGTGGAGATGACTGAGAGAGATGTAATCACAAGGTGGCCACGCCCTGAAGCGTACCTCGCTTTATCATCTATTTTACTCTAAACAGGACCGTAGTTTACAAAGTGAGCATCATGTTGTGCTGAAGACGTCAAACTAGAGATTTAGGGGGCGTCGGTGGCTTAGTGGAAGAGCAGGCGCCCCATGTACAAGGCTGTTGCCGCAGCAGCCCGGATTCAAATCCAGCCTGTGGCCCTTTGCTGCATGTCATCCCCCCTCTCTCTCCCCTTCACGCTTACCTGTCCTGTCCATTAAAGGCAATATGGCCCAAAAAAACTAGACATTTAGACCATAAACTCAGTGGGTAAATGTAGGCTGACAAAACGTCCTCTTTTGCCCAGACATGTCCACTTTTCACGTCCTGTCCGGGGCGTTTTTATAAATTGATGATAATGTCCGGTTTTCCTTGTGTGTGTGTGTGTGTGTGTGTGTGTGTGTGTGTGTGTGTGTGTGTTAGAGTGCATCACGGGCCACATATTTCTGTCCGAACCCGACAGTCATTCTGTTTTGTTATGTTCGAAACTGAACCGAGCCCGACATTATTTAATGACTAAAGCACTGAGTTTGTGTCACACAGTTGTTATGGTTACAGGCTATTTAACAGGCCGGGCGTGCTCCCTGGGTGCTCCGCGGAGAGGGAGACCTCTGTGTTTGAGACGGGAGCAGGCGGCGGGAGGTCCGAGGCTTCCGAGAGGGAGAAATATAACAAAATAAGATAAAATAGGAAAACCTGTCTCCCTCTTTGATTTTATTTTCAGTGTTTAATCAAGGCTGAGACGGGCAGCGGAAGGTCCGAGGCTTCCAGCGAGGGGAGAGGTAGAAACAAACAGCCAATGTGTGTCTGTGTGTGCTATGTTCAGGTGTTGTCATGTAAATAACAGTGCCCAAGCAATAAACAGGACAGACAATAGGATTTTATTATTTTTACACTACATTTTCACTGAAAGCTGACCGAATCCGCCCCGAGCCCGAAGACAATTTATACATTTTTGACTGAACCCGGCCGACCCGTCGGGACCTGTCGGGACCTGTCGGGCTCGGATCGCCACACTCTAGTGTGTGTATGTGTCCCCTATCTATAGGGGCCTATCTGAATTTCTGTCTTTGAGAAATATTATTTTGTAATATAACTGAATTTTCTATCCATACATATAAACTTTAAATATATTAAAATTATAAGGCATCTTTGAGTAAACTGTGAGTATCATGTAAGTAGGCTATGTCGTGGCCGGGCCGAGTTTCTTCTTTTTTGGAAATCAAAACATGGTCACCCTAGTAAATGTTCACTGAGGTCAGAATTTAAATGAGAAGTCGGCTCATTTTCTCACAGACTTCTACACAATTGGACTTCTTGTTGCAACCAGTGGAGTCGCCCCCTGCTGGCCAATAGAAAGAATGCAGGTTGAAGGCACTCCCTGAATGGCTTCACTTCTCAGTCTTTCCAAAACCGGACCGTAACTCTGTCTGTAGTCTCCTTCACAGCTGAATGAAGCTCCTACATCAAGGTGCAGAGGATAAATACAGCAGCAGCTTTGGGACAAACTTCCCTCTGCGGCAGAAAGAGGACGTGTCATAACTACTCTCAACCATGGAGAAAAATAAAAATGACTCCCATTTTATGTTCTTCATATGTATTTGTAGCACTTACATTCAATCTGTATGTGCTGCTGTTGTTTAGGCCTAACTGAATTTTTGTATATTATGTTTTTATGTGAACGTCTGTATGAGAACAGGCCTACAGACATCCGTCTTAGTGTGAGCAGGTTACGTTTGTGAGGGTAGTTCTGGAACTTTATTTGCACAAAGCGTCTTCCATGTACAACACAATACAGCCTTGCACATGGTCAGGAAGTCTGTATCGGTGCAGACTCGCTGTTAGAAGGCAGCACGGCACGGTGCTGCGCCACCAGCAAACAGGAGATGTTGGTGATCGAGAAAAACCTGTGGCCCGTGGCTCACGGCTTTACACACTCTTCTCCTTTGCCATGTGACATGACTGCAGCAGTACTCAGTGCTCATGTATCGACCCCATGCTCTCTCACACTGATCATGCGTGTCGGAGTGCAGCAAGAACGTAAATGTTGTTTCAAGTTGGCAAACAGCTGATGTGCACAAAGCCCAGAGTGTGCACACGTCATGCCAACAAAAACTCAAACACTAAAATATTTAGACTTTTCTGAGTAACCACTCTGAACACTCTGAAGATTCAGATATCATCAGCATAAACACTAACCTGCTGTCTCCCCATGTTAGACATTTTGAGACATGGCGGCAGGGACTAGAAACATTTTTTACATGCAAATACAAGTCGTCATCACATGATATTTTTCATCAGAGCCTTCCGCTCGGCACATTCTTCCATTTCAGTGTCACAAGACTTTACTGATGAGACAAAGAAAGGGAGGAGACAGTGATTTCATTGGTCAGTAGATCAGCAGCAGAGAAGTTGTTGAGCAAGTTGAACACTGAATTTGAGTCAAATCTACTCATCAAAGAGACGTTTGAGTAAAGAAGGAAGAATCTGACTTTAAATTCAGTGCAGAACTTGGCAGGTCAAAGGTCATAACACCAGGCGCAGAGCATTTTAGATTGAGTTGAGACCACATGCTTCTTCAAAGCAGGAAACCGACAGAAGGAGTATTAGTAGAGTTGAAGTGAAGTTATTCTGCTTTTTTTCCCGGCTTTGCAGCCACAGTGTCGGCATCAAGCTCTTACTGTTTAATCTCCTTGACCTTTGCCCTGTCGGCCGCTGCCTGTGCCTTGTCATAGGTCTTCCTGCGAGAGAGTGGCGAAGGCTCCGGAGCTCGCTTCTCCACCCCTGGTGAAGTTCTGGAGCCAGAACTGATCGTTTCAGTGTCATAAAGTTTTCCACAAACAACACAGAGACAGTACAGAACAGAAATCATGATAAAACAACAGAAGATGTGAAACACAAAACACAAAATCATGACAATGATGAAGAGATGAGCATGCAGTACACAGAAACACATTACCTGAGATTTAAAGTCCCAAAACAGAGGTGGTTCTTCGCCAAGCTCATGTTTAACTACTGAGGCTACGCTAAATATATTTCTATCACTTTATCAGCCGATGGATGACTTTCAGCCAAGGCTCGTTTATATACAAGTCAATGTGCGCCGAGGTTTGAAGCATAAACATTATTAAGCCAGTTAAAGCAGTGTGGTTAGTAGTTTTGCTTTCAGTGTGTATCTGAGGTTTAATAAAGAATTAGAGAGGCAGTTTCTGCAGAGTCGGTCATAAATCAGTCAAACACATGTTAATATCAGCTCCTCTCTACATGCTTTTACCTCACAGGATTTATGAGGCTGTTTGATGTCAGGATGCTCATGAATAATGTGAAACAGAACAAAGTGAAGCAGAGGACGTAAGCAGCAACATCAAACATGCAGGAAGAAAGGAAGGAAGGAAGGAAGGAAGGAAAGAAGGACGTGGTCATTACTGTGTTAGCGACAGAGTGCCGGGCCCTGGACTTACATGCTGCCCATTTTAGAGGAAAAGCCAGGGGAGAGAGCTGTGTAGTCCCTGACTGATGAGCCTGACGAGTCTATGTCTCCTCCCCCCTCGGGTGTTTCAGCCAATGGCATCATCGGACCGGAGAAGTCTGCTGTGGGTGCGTCGGGGGCAGAGTCACTGTTGGCGTACAGCAGCTCCATCTGAGTGGTTGTCCTCCTGCGAGCCTGCAGAGCACAGACAAGAGAGAATGAAGACAGGAAGTAGCGGGGGAAATACTAGTGCACACAGAGCACGAGGCATGAACACGCCGTGATACCTTATTTCTTGTTTTGGTCTCTCCGCAGAGTTTCATCAGATCTGATGTCAAAGTGCTAAAAGGGAAACATGAGTTTAATATGTGAGTGTTGATAAGCATAAACACAGTAAATATGACACAAAACATGACTCATCATATGAACATAAGCACGGCTCAAAATGCCACGCACATCTGCATGGGATTGCACGCAAAATCTGAGCTGTGCATGAACTTCTCCGCTCTGCGTGCACTGATTGGTGCACGTAATATGAACTGCTGAGTTTGACTCAAAACTGATGTTTTGATTTTTGTTTAATATCTTCATGCTGACTTGCTGATATTAGTGAACACTGTAAATAAAAAATTACACTATAATGGTTTCATGTAGCACACTTATGTTCATTATTAATGTGCACTGATTTTATCGAAATATTTTAATAGAAAATAAAGGCATTTTTTTCAATAACCTCCACTTAAAGGTCCACTGTAGGATTTAGAGGGATTTATTCAAGAACAGACATGACGTTAAAACATGATGATGTCACAGTCAAGCTGACTTTTGACCTTCTGACTTCATCATTTTATCCTGTTAGACATTTGTGTCAAGTTTTGTCAGAATTTTCTTGAGTTATGGCCAAAAAAGTGTTTTTTTGAGGTCACACTGACCTTTGAACACCAAAAACTAATCAGCTCATCGTTGAGTCCAAGTGGGCGTTTGTGCCAAAGTTGAAGAAATTCCCTTGAGGCGTTGTAGAGATACTGTGTTCGCAAGGATGGGACATACAGACAGACAACCCGAAAACATAATTGCCTCTCACCGGTGCGGAGGCATAACAAAAACATAAATAAAACAATAACATAAAATTACATACAATAAGATGCGTAAAGATAAACTTACTTTCCCTCTGCAGACGGACTCTGTGCAGATTCATCACTGCTGCTGTCGTCTCCATTTTCTGTTAAATGAGATCAATAAATAATATCAGAGTTTACAGGAAACTGTCGCTGATGACACTCAGACAACTCCTTATAACTTTCTACAGTGTTCTTTAACAAGTACACTTTGTGTTCTACTAAATAATTTATCACTTTCATTGAAGGGTAAAACAAATTCTTTTAAAACTTTATTTTTTTAAATAGCTTCTCAAAATGGACATAGAAAAGATGAACAGGGGAAGCAGATGAGGGCGATGTCAGCGCGGCGCCATGCTGTTTTACCGACAAACAGAAACGCGGTCCTCACTGAGCTCAATGGGATCAGACGGATCGAAGAGGGTGAGAGGTCAGAGAGCGGCGGGGGGGGGGGGGGGGGGGGGGGGGGGGGGGGGGGGGGGGGGGGGGGGGGGGGGGGGGGGTTTGGGGGTATGAAGACAGATGTGTGGGCGAAGACAACAGGGTGGAGGAGTGAGAGGAATCATTAGTCCGATGCTCCCGATGGGGTCAGCTGACCTACAGCGTCTGACAGAGCTAAAACATCCACGTCATACGGCTCCTGTGGAGGGTCCTGGGTTAGCAGGGTGCTAAAGCATGGAGGCTGTAGCACATGGTGAGCTAGGAGGAGGAGGAGGAGGAGGAGTGTGTCCAGATGAGGGGAGGGGAGGAGGGAGCAGACAGATGGAGGGAAGCCTTGGTTGCATTGCACCTCATGCACCTGTTCCATGTTATGTTCAGTTAGTCGTCACAGTGCAAAGGGAACCATGCATCCAGAACACAAACAAGAGTCTTTGTGGTTTCACTTACCAGCTGGGATGTTACCTAGCTCTGTAAAAACATAAAACAAAAAACAAAAGGAAAACGTGGGGGAACAGAAAAAAGGCAATGCACAAATCAAAAACACTGTCCCCCGAAATTCTACAAAAATAAACCAAAGAAAATAAAGTGCAGCTACTGTAACAGAGACATCCTGCTGTACAGAGGCTGGGAAAATATTTACTACTCAGAAAGTCCTGAAAATTTTGATGGAAAACTTTCAGTAAAATCACTCTGTAACATTTTCTATTAGAGTGATGTTTTCTTTGGACCCGACTCGAACTAAGGAATTATGGGTCAGATTTTTAATAATTCGACCAGCTTCTATTCAGCAGATGACAACAGGCAAGAGCATGTCAATAGTCCCAATCATGCACCAGACCAGTAACCCAGTCCACCTCCTGAAAGCCGCTCTAACACACATTTAGTGACAAGTTTTAAACAGAATTTACTCATGAAAAGATATTTCATCATCATCATCCCAGAATAAAATCTGAATCCCAGTTTTCTTTGACATGATAATAAGGACACTCCCAGGAGGTGGGCGGGGTAAACCAGGGGTCTGGTCTGTGTTTTGGGTCCGTCATCTTCACTTTAACGTCAGCACAAACGAACGCCATCGTTACCTTGCAGCGCGTTCCCCAGCAGTGCGTCCAGCTCCGGGTTGAACTCGGCCTTCTCCTTCAGCATGTGAAAGAGCAGCTGGTTCTGTGTGGCGCTGGTGATCTCCGTCTGCTTCAGCCGGCCCTCCATCACCTTCACCTGAGACTCCCGCTGGGCCGCCTGGAGACCCTGAACAAGTCACAACGAAGACGTTAGAAATGTTTACTGTCCATCTCAAAGTCACAGCCATGTTTCTGCTATATGGTAAAATAACTGTATGTGTAACTACGTATCATACGGAGGCCCTGTTCATGCCTGGGGAGCATGGGAGTCTGAAAATTGTCTCCGTAAATTGTTAAACACAGAGGTCATGTGATAATATTGATCCTGCTGGAATCAGCATCTCTTTGATTTGGGCTCATATTTAGGTGTTTGGCTTTCTCCCTGCCTATTTTCTGCCTCTTTCCTGGTGGAGAATCATGACGGCTGCATTGGAGATTACAAATGAAAGTTCTGGCAGCATTTTGGTGCGAATACAGGAAGCTCGTGTCACTACATAACATGGAGCCTCGTTCAAAGGAAGAGCTCAAATCCATCAGAAGAGCAACACCTTGACAGATGATGAGACGGACAGCATGACGGGTGTGTCTGAATCACTTCTGTTTGTTTAACCTACATTTTAAAGAAAAAGGAAGGTTGACACCGACTTAATTTCTCCACCAGTGGTGCCGTGAAGTGTTTCTGTGATGTGAAGAGTGTCATCTCCAATTACAGACCAATCTCCAACCTGCCTTTTTTGAGTAAGATTTTAGAAAAAACTGTTTTTAAACAACTGAATGACTTTCTCTGTGACAACAGTATGTTTGAGAAATTCCAGTCTGGCTTCAGGGCCCAGCACAGTACGGAAACAGCTCTAGTCAAAGTTATTAATGACCTTAGAATTAAGGATAGACCGATACATCGGCCGGCCGATATATCAGGCCGATATTTGAGTTTTTTACTTGTATCGGCATCGGCCGATATGCGCGTGGGTTCGCGGATTTATTTTTCCCTGGCACTTTTTTTCATTTCAAAGTATGTGGTTAAGTTGAACAAAGCTGTTGAATCCTACTGTGTACAGTAGTTGTTGTTTTATTTATGCTTCAGCTTAAATATTTGTTTATTTTATAAAGACATTACTGCAAGATTTAAGAGCACTGAACTCTTTTTTTTATTTGAATGTATAATAATAATAATAATAATAATAATAATAATAATAATATTCTACCTTTTCTACCTCAACTTTCCATCTTTTTTTAGTATTTTTTACTGTTCAATAAATGTTTCTTATTTTAAACTTGAGACCTGTAATATTTGTTATCATTGTGTCATTTTTTTGTTGTAAATTGAGGGAGCAAAAGCAGTATCGGCTCCAAATATCGGCTCAAGAAAATCGGCAGTCCATAATCGGTCATCGGCTAAGGGTGATGGAAAAAAATCGGTATCGGCATCAGCCCTAAAAAATCCTGGAACAGTTCTTGAATGGTTCAGATCTTATTTAACCAATCGGCAGTTCTATGTGGCCTTGGATGACCATTCCTCCGACAACACTAATTTGACATGCGGGGTGATTTGGGGTGGAATTCTTTTGTTTGTTTGTTTTCTCTGTTTTGTTTTTCTGCCTCTTTCCTGGTCAAGAAATCATGGAGACTGTGTTGGTGATTATAAACGAAGAAGAACGACACCTTGACTGAAGATGAGGACAGAATACGGTAAGCACCAGTTTTCATGTAATAACATCAGTTAAACTAAGTGAAATACAGACTTTATCAAATATGAATGTTCAGGGAGGATGAACAGGGCTGGAGTCGTTTATTTCTGTAGCTGATGAATTTTTCGGAACTTCTGTCAGAATAAAACAGAGAAATGTAAAAACCCATTTCACTTTCTTCTGCATGGTCTAAAATTAATTTTATTGGGAAAAACACAGCAGGAACAGAGACTTTATCAGAGACCATGTAAATTAAATTTATCATCATGATGTTAATGTGGCAGATTTTGCCAAATGGGCAATTTTCATCTGCGGTCTCAACCAGGTTCATGTTAAAACTTCAAATGGCCCAATTTGGGCTGAAAAATCAGGCAGCAAGAGGCGCTGACGTGTGCTGAAGAATCTTGGGTCTTGTTGTGAAGCAGCTGTGAGCACAGATAGTGGTAAACAGATGTGATTATTTACTGATTATTATTGTCATTACAGCTGGTACCTTGTTAATGGCCATCGACATGAAGTGATCCAACAGAAAACGAGCTTCTGTCAGAGTACAGGAACCAATCACTGCAGAGACGTCCACCGTGTCGCCTTCCTCCTGGATTTAAAAAAGAAAGAAGTGCGAATTTATTTAACTTCAACAATAAAACTCTTCATCTCTCAGAACGTTTCAGAAACTCCACCTGATCTGGTTGGTGATGAGATAAAACTGAATCATGTATCTAAGCAGCCTGTTCAGCCCGTCTCACCTTGGTTTCCTCCATCTGCATGATGTTGGCCTGACAGTCTGCGATGCTGTCGTTGATGTAGTCGATGTTCGCCGTCAGCGCGTCCACCTCCTCGTTGAGAGGAAGCATGGCCTTCTCTGCCTCTGGTCCCTCCTTGACCAGCCGGTCCCTCTTACGGATGACCTTCTCTTTACGCTTGGTCAGCTCCTCTCGTTGCTACGAACCGAAGAAAAAACAAACCCCACACTGACTTCAGACATTTTTACAGATTTCAGAACATGGAGTCATTTCTAACTGTGCACATGGCAAATGTTATGGCGAGGAGCCAAAGGTTTTCTTAACAGATGCTATGCAAGGTTTTTTGTTTTCCCACTTTACCTTGAGGAGACGGTTCATGTCGGCCTCCATGTTGGAGATCGTCATCCTCTGCATGATGACGTCAGTGATACGGCGCTCCAGGGACTGCCATTTATTGCGGGCGATCCTGGTGGAGTAAATACCGACTGTACGCCTGTAGGAGGACCTGCGCACGCACACACACACACACACACACACAGCATACACACATTCAACACATCAGTGATGTACATGAGCTGTAAACATGGAACAGATGCAGACTGATGCAACAGAATCCAACATAAAACATCCATGATACATGTCCTGATGGAGCAGGTGTAAAGTTTCTTCCATGTACAGTAGTTTGATGTTCGAAGGATAAAGTCTGGCCTGTTTTGGTTTTTAAAAAGCATCTATATTTAGCATTCTTCTTCATTTTGCCTCTCTGGAAACATTACCGTGCGCACACACACACACACACACACACACACACACACACACACACACACACACACACACACACACACACTCACCGGGTGCCGTTGGGAGCAGCGTTGCCGGAGGAGTACAAGCGTCCAGATGGAGGTCTGTGGGCAGAGTCCTGCATCGGTTCTGGGAGATTAATTTTCCTGACGACCTTACCTGAGGTGGGCCTGGCCTGCCTCCTCAGAGCCGTCACCTGACACACACACACACAAACATGGCGAACAGAAACGTGAGCACAAAAAGCAAAACACAGCAGCAGTGTTTCTGCATACATTATGTAAAGGTACAGTCCTGCTCTGCTGCTGCTCACCTCCTCAGTCTTCCTCCTCAGGATCAGCTCCTGCTGCCTCTTCTGAGCCTCCAGTAGCTTCAGCTGGTGCTGAAACACAGTTACAGCATCCACACTGGTTAAATAATGACACTGAGACTCCGAAGCTCTGATTCAAAGAGATGAAATGAAAGCCAAAAGCAAAAAGAGGATGTCGCTAACGTCCCCGTCACTGACCTCCTGCCTGCGCTGGTCTTTCTTTAATGAAGCGATTTCTCGGTTTCTGCGAGACTCATTCATCCTGTTCTTCTCCTGCTGCTCCTTCATCTGCTTCATGAGACGCACCTGAAACAATCCAAACACAAATATTCATATTGTATATAGGCCTACACAAACAGCATCAAAGTGAGTCGATACTCGAAAATTATCTGCAGATCTGTGAATTTTTTTTAAAAATTATGAACCACTTGTTGAATCCTGTCTCTTTAATCTTTCTTTATCCGTCGGTGTCAAAATGAAATCTGAGTCATTTCTGTTTTTAAACCAAAGAGCAATAGCACTCCCTCTCGTGTGATGTTGCTTAATTGTGATAATAATTAATATCATTATTTATTTTGGGATGAACTGGTCCCTTTATGGCCAAAATACTGTGCATGGGGCACGGATATGATGCGTCACAAAAGTGGAGCTGAGCAGGATTTTGATCTGCAACACCAGCTGGATGAAAATAACGTGCAGCGTGGCGCCTGTGGTCAGTGGAGCAGCTTCAGTTTGACCATAATGAATATGTTGCATTTTGGGCTGTAAGCCTGCTGAACCAACTGAACCACTTGTTTCTGATGCCACCCTGACTTCATTTATAAGCACTCCGTCGACTTCTATCTTTATTCTAATAGAAGCAGCTCCTTCCACACTGAACTATGGATATGATACACCACAGCCAACAAAGGAAAAATCACAGCAGGCAGAGACCTCTGATTTTTCACCACAATCATCAAAGTGCAGTTTTATCGCAGTCGTCCTTAGAGTGGACTGACTGCTGTAACAGATCGCACCTTTGTCTTCTTCATTTCAGCCACGTCCATCTGAAGCTTCTTCAGCTGCTTCTCGTACTGCGACTGGTTCTTCAGCAGGCGGGCGTGTTCCTTCTGAGCCGACTGGAGCTTCTGGAGCTCCTTGTTCATCACACTCAACTTCTTCTCATACTCAGCCTTGATCTTACGAGCCTTGTCGTCTGTGCCGCTTTCTACTGTATCTGAAAGTGTGCAACACAAAAAATCATGGAAAACTGAACTTCCTGAAAACACTGAACACAATTATAGCTGCTGCGCAGCGATGGGTCGGATCCGGGCATTTTTAGGCAATTCTGAGCAACAAGCAGAAGAATTGGCAGACATTTAGCAACAGAATCTGCCTTTTGCATCAGCTGAGAGGCTTGAACTCACAACCTCTGAGACTAAGAATCAATTTCTATCTCACTGAGCTAATTAGTCAGTGACAATTCATGTGTAGCTTCACAAATTGTCTAAGCCAGATGTGTAGGTTTAGCAGTCGTCCATGCATGGAATTTATTTTAACAATGACTGATTTGCTTCATTAGTGAAAAACTGATGTTTAACTAGTTGAGCTATGTGCAAAGTGAGAAGCCTCAGATGGTTTCACACTGAAGTATTGACACTGGATCTTTGTGCAAAGTTTGGTTTATTTTTAAGCATGAGAAGGCAGATTTTCTAGCAGAAAAAAGACTTGAAGATGCTGCACAGTCATCAGTCACGCTCAGGCAATTTTAAGCAATAAGCTGGAGCACAAGAAGATGATTACATTACAATGTGGATTCTGCACCAGTTGAGGCTCGAATCCGCAAACTCTGGAACCCAAGACGGTCATCTACCGCTCTGAGCTAATTGGCAAGTAGCAACTCAACAGTGGCTTCACAAACTGAGTAAGCCATTCACTGTTGTGTAGGAAAGCAGCCATCCGTGCATGGAAAGGCAGATTTGAAACCACTGTAAAAAATTCAGTTATTAAGACAAAAATCTGAAAATACACATATTGCATCTAGACAGCATGGAGATGTTGGTAATTTGTTTGTAACAATGATTGATTTGCTCCAAAAGTGAAAAACTGATGTTTAAAATTGCCATTTTTACATTGACTCCAACTGTTCACATTAGAGCAAAATTCAAAATGCTGTCAAAAATTCAGTTTTTGAGATAAAATTCTGAAATTTGCCTCACATCATCTACCATGACTCCAGAATTTTGTCATTTTTTTCATGGACATTGAAGATTTATTTAGCAAGAATTTGCATGTATATGGTTACAGTACCGTTTACAGTCAAACATTTTGATGCACTGTAGGCTGAACCGTAGTTTTTGTAGGACAGTCTGAAGATGCTCTGTAGCAAGTTTGGTGTCAATTGAGCAAAAACTGTGGGAGGAGATAAGTTTAAGAAGTTTTACAGTTTTTGAAAAAAAAAAACAGAGTGATGAACTTCATAATCTTTAATAGGTTTAAGTGTACAAAAGTTTCTTCAGTATTGGGGCTACAGTTTGATGAAAGCTGTGAAGTTGTAGCACGTATGGTTGATTTGTTATGAATTTTCAAAGTTTTGAACTTTAGACGCTTGCTGTAGCGCCACCATCAGGACTATTGGCTTGAGTTTACAGCTGAGGATATCTGGCATGAGACTGGACCTTTGTGCAAAGTTTGGTGAGTTTTCACCCATGGGAAGTATGATTTCCTTGGAGGAAGAAGAAGAAGAAGAAGAAGAAGAAGAAGAAGAAGAAGAAGAAGAACTAGGATTACAATAGTGTCCTGGCAGCTTAGCTGCCCGGACCCTAATAAGACTGTAGAAGAACTTTAAATCTTAAAACTCAGTCACTTGTGTTTGGGAGAGTTTCTAATGAAGCGCCCACACGGCACTGCAGATAAAAGCATATTTCCTTTAATGGTTTAAAAAGTCAGAAACTTTGATCTCCAGCTGTCACAAAGTCTCTTTTGTGTGTTTTTTCTTTTTAATTCGACGAGCTGAAAACTCCTCCGTGCTTTTAAAATCTGCATGAGACAATGCTTTGATCCATTAGTGCTGATAAATATAAATGTAACTGTCATCGTCTGATGGCTGGCGGAGAGCGCTCGCTCTAAAGGTTTCTCTGAAGTACACAAGTCTGCAGCGTTTTTGTTTTTTGTGACTAAAGAACAAAAAAGTGACATCAAACATGTAGGAGAAATATAAATTCTTCCAGCGTAAGAAGGCCTCTAACACGCTGCGCTCTGAGACTGAAATAACTCATCAAAAGGCGCCGACAGTTAAAGTGTATTCTGGTGGGTGTTTTGATCCCGGCTGCCTGAGGATGTACAGTGTGTTAGTACAGTTCTCTTCCCTCTGAGCGATACATGACTCCCCCCCTCTGGCGTCCTTGTCTTACTCATGTTCTGGAGGACGCGGTCCCGCTCCAGCTGGGTGTCCCTGATCTTGCACTGCAGCATCATCAGCTTCTGCTCGTACTGCTGTTTGAGCGTGTGCAGACGCCGCTGGCTGTTCTCCAGCTCGTCAATCAGCTTCTGCTTGATGGCGATCTCGCAGGTGATGTTGGCCAGATCGGCCTGGAAGTTCTCTGTTGGACACACGTGAACAGACACACCGTCACGTTACTGTCACAAACACACAGCATGTTTTGTTTCTGGTGTTAACAGATGATTTTACACTCGATGTCCCTTTGGAACTATTTAATCTTACTTGAAGAATCTTTTTTTCGTTTGTCTCATTAATAACTTCACTTCTGATGTTCTCTAAAGTTTGAATAAAACACACAACAAGTGAAGGCATCAACATGAGCTGGATGTTGTTGTTGTTGTGCTCCCTGTAGCAAGACAACAGTTAACAACTCTCACTGAGTAAAAGTGTTTAAGTCCTTATATTAACAGCCGTGACTCAACATTTACTGAGCAGATTATTTGGCTTCGCCCGGTGGCCCTCTCTCTTTGTTGCTCGCCTCAGTACGCCTAACTGTTTAGTTCAGAACAGCTCTGTTTGAAGTTGTAAACATCTCATCACCATTTAAAAAATGAACTGCTTTCCTTCTGCCCATTACGTCGGCGTTATGTTGCTTTCCTTCTCTCAATGAGTGTTTCTCTGTAAAACCATCTAACTCAACTACTGAGTGTGTTCCTGACCCCCAGTTTACCCCGCTGCAGCTGAGCTGAACGAGAAAGAACTAAATCAGAATTGTACGTCTTCATTTTATAGTTTTTTTATAGAGTATTTTATAGTATAAATGTGTCCTAACGTCACCAGTATAGATGACGGTCACAGTCATCTCTCACTCAGCAGTGTTCCTGCATCTTGAATGCATCTATGGTGAAATAATCACAAGTGTTCAGCTCTGCATGGAGGTGAAAACATCCCTAAAACCAGAGGTGGGAGAAGCATTCAGATCTTTTACTTTACTTTCCCATGTTTTTCTGTCAAGTGACAAAGTGCAATGAGCAATAATCCTTCTTGCTTAGGGAGACATCTCCTTCTGAAATCTCACTGACTTTTCCACATTGTTGAAATCAGTTAAACATTCAACCCTCAAACTAAAAAAGTCTGTTAGAAAACACTAAACTACACTTTCTGTTCTCTCACTAATGTTTCTATCCTTATTTTTCCTTCAACATGTCACCTCATGTGATTTCAGAGGGAAACTTCTCTCTGAGAGACACTTGGTCACAGAAACAAACAGACCAGTGAAAGGTAAAGAAACCTTTCTTTTCTCTATAGGATCCTTTTTATAACGTTGTCAGACACTTAGAGTGTCAGTCTGAGCCTGTCAGTGACCAAACAAACACATTCAGTGGACGCACAGAGACGGAGCACAGTTACCTGTAGGGATTATGTGACATTAACGCTTGGATGATCAGTAATTACCTAAGACTTACTCAGGATGAGTCTGATCTTCATCACCTCACCAGCCACACTGTGCAGAGTTTCCACCTAAATCCCTGATTTTACTACATCCTCTGCTGCTGAGGTAAAAAATCTTGGTGTTACTTTAGACTCCCTGTTTAACAGTGCATTCGTTTTAAAATCCTCCTCCTTGTCTTTAAATCCCTGCATAGCATGGTGCTGCCCTACTGTACCATTCCAATCTTCTGCATTCCTACACACCTCCTCGTTCATTGCAATGCCCACTGACCCTCGACTCCCCCCTCCAGGCTCTGTACTATGGGGGACCGGGGCCTTTAGTGTAGCTGGCTCTCATGTGTGGAACGCTCTTCCTCAGGGTCTGCCTCATTCACATTAGTTTTATTCTTTTAAGTTGCAACTGAAAACTCATCTTTTGCAAACAGCCTTTCCTTATATTGTGTTATTTTCCACCAGTATCCAAACACAGCTGTGTGTGTGTGTGTGTGTGTGTGTGTGTGTGCTGCAGGTTGGAGTGTGTATCTGGTCTGTCAGTGGTTAAACAGCTCCCCCTGGTGGAGAATCAGCAGCCTCTTTAAGGCGAATGTGTGTGAGCGATCAGACATTTTCTTCCTTGTACCTTTTTCGTCTGTCTCTGAGTCAGAATCATCCGAGCTCTCCTCCACATCCATCTCCTCTTCCTCCTCCTCCTCTTCCTCTTCTCCTTCCTCGTGGTCGCTGCCCTCCTGGACCTCCTGAAACGTGACATACTGACACTTTAATATCTGAAGCAGGGCCGGGGCATAAGGCCTGTAAATTATACTGCATTACTTTTTTTTTATCACAATACAGAGCATACATCTCGATATTTAACCTGGAATAACCTCGCAGCTGATGTTTGACACCGACTCTGAACACTTAACCCATTTCAAATATGTTTTTTTTTTTTTTTTAATCTTTGCATGTCTTGTTCTGCACTTTTGACATTTTTAATGGTGACTTAAAAAAAATTATAAATCATTTAGTAATTAATTTTGAGGAGTCAGTCTTACCATTTCTGCCTCCTCGTTGACTCGCTCCGTCATTTCCTTCTCTGTACCCTTCTCCTGATCGTTGTCAGGAACTTCCTCATTGTTGGCACTGAAAGATTCAGACATTGGTCAGGATTATTCCTCTGTGACGGACACATGATGCACATGATACGCCTCCAGGGCTACTGTACGTCACATGGAAACAAGGAGCATATTTCTAATTAAACACCTGCAGGTAATGACGATACTGTTTCTGTTTTTTTAACTGGTGAAGGACAAGTTTTGTAAATTATATAATAATACAACAACTCTGTCTTTTTGGCAAACAAACTGTTTTTATGGACTTTAACACTGTGAAGCAATAAAGCGTCTCACTGTTAATGACTTTATTAGCTGTGATGTATTTGACACTTCTGATACTTTATGAGAAAATGTATTCTTTAAATGAACCATAAAGCACACAAAGCCTTCAGCATCATCTCATCACGTAATGAACTATAAACTCTGAGGTGACGCTGCTTCTTTAAAATGAGTTTGTTTGTGATAAAGACAGCGTGTTGCTTTGACAAAGGAATCTCATCAGAGTCAGAACGAAACCAGGAGAAGCAAAGAAGCATGAAAGGAATAAATAAATAATAGTTGTAAATCAAGTCCATGAAGCAGATCTGTTGGATAAGTGTTTTATCCAAACTCAGAGGGTTAGCGATGGTTAGGTGGTGTTTGCACAAAATCATCTGGATTATCTGAACAAAAGGAAAAAGAAAGATTAACACAGGAAAGTGAGAAGAGATATTTATCATCCAACGATGTATTATTTAAAGGACTGATTAACACAGTCTGTTGGGGCGCACAGTGGCTCAGTGGGTTTAATTCCAGCCGGCGGCCCTTCACTGCACGTCGTACCTCCTCTGTCTCCTCCTCATGCTTCAATAAAACACTGTCCTGACATTACAGGCAAAAAGCCCCAAAACTCATCTTTTGAAAAACCTAGTCTGTCAAACGTTAAAGAAGACGCAACTGTGCGCAGAAGTTTTAACCTTTCACTTCTGATAATCTGAGGGGAAAAAGTTAAAAATAGATCGCTAATAGATAATTGATGGCTGAGTGGTTACAGAGCCATATAACTGTCGTGTCGCCACATCTTTACCGTTAAGTAAAATAACTGAAAGTGTAACTATAAATCATGTATTCGTATACTGAAGCTGAGAATTGCCATGCTTGCAATTTTTCTTTTCATGCTGTTGTCTGGAGATCACAAGCTTTGTCTTCTCAAGATAATGAGGTAAGAAACTTGTCATCATGAAAAAAACAAAAGGGTGTTTCCTCTTATTACCTCCGCCAAGGAGGTTATGTTTTCGCCGGTGTTGGTCTGTTTGTCTGCAAAATAACTCAAAAAGTTAAGAACGGATTTTGATTAAATTTTAAGGAAAGGTGGATAATGGGACAAGGAACAGATGATAGAATTTTGGTGGTGATAGGTTGAAGCAAAGTGGATAAAATAATAAATAAATTCTTTCGTCTGACAGCCTCAGCAGCAATTCCAATGTCTAAAGATGGTGAAAATAGCGCCATCTGGTGGCCGGAAAGCACGTCTTATTCTACTTGCTAAATATTGTTGTAATTCTAAAGTTGAAATTTATGTTCTGTGTTGGAAAAAAAGAAAGTGAAAAATACAAAAAAACATTATATTCTGTGTTGGTACAAAATAAAAACGAAATAAATACACCACAGTGTCTCCATGGTGAAGGCATACATAATCTAATAATGATAGTGATGCAAATAACCTAAATGTGAAGCAGGCTGCAAAATCTGATGCAGGGGGGAGGGAACATCACCTACTTGGCGGAGGTCTGCACTCTCTGAGTGCTTTTCTAGTTATTTAAAGTGTTTAGCAGAGATCAGATGTGCTACGTCAGCAGAGACGGAGTCTTGACAACTGTAGCAGAAAGTTTCAGTCTGTAATTTAACGTCTGATAAATCATCTTAATCTCTTGTTTCTTCTTCTCTAGAATCAACAAATAAGTTGTTATCAAATCAAATCACGTTTATTTATAAAGCACATTTAAAAACAACCAGAGATGACCAAAGTGCTGTACAGAACATGTGAGTCAACATCAAATATCAATTAATCAAAGAAATCAGCATAATGTAGTGCAACAAGGACCAGTTAAGGGCAATCAAATGCCAGGGAATACATATGAGTTTCTAGTTTTGCCTTGAACATAACTACAGTGGAGGCACATTTGATAGAAAAAGGTAAAGCACTCCACCGCAAAGGCCCGATCCCCCCTGCCCCTTGACTTTGAACGAGGGAGCCAGGAGCAGCTGGTCTGAGGATCTGAGAGGTCTGGGGTTGGTGAGGGGGCACAGGAGCTCAGAGATGTACTGGGGTGCCAGGCCATGTAGGGATTTGAAGACAAACGGTAGGATTTTGAATTGCAGTGCAGAGATGCCAGGACAGGTGTAATGCTTTCTCTCTTTTTTGTGCCGGTTATTAGTCTGGCAGTAGCATTCTGCACCAGCTGCAGACGGGACAGAGAAGACTGGTTGATGCCGAAATAAAGTGAGTTGCAATAATTGAGGCGAGAAGAAACTAGGGTGTTAGTGACAGTTTTCAGATCGGTAAGTGAGAGGAATGGTTTGACTTTGGTGATATTTCCTTTGACCATGGCACTGATTTGTTTTTCAAATTTGAGTAATGAATCAAATATGACACCAGTTATGACATGAAAACAAAATGTATTATCTCGAGATAACGAAACTCATGATCTGAAGGTAACTGCATTAAAAAATACTAATTGCAGGTACAGCCCCTCTCGGCTTCTGGAGTCACATCCATTTTTCGGAGCTTTTACTGAAATTAAAGTTTTAGAAAAAGGCAGAAAAAAATGACTTCACTTTCTTCTTCATGATCTTTCCCGAAAAACAGGGAAAAAATTACTCAGAAAAACAGAAAATATTACTCAGAAAAACAGAAAATATGACTCAGAAAAACAGGGGAAAAAATCACTCAGAAAAACAAAAAAATACTCAGAAAAACAGAAAATATTACTCAGAAAAATGGGAAAAATCACTCAGAAAAACAGAAAAAAACTCAGAAAAACAGAAAATATTACTCAGAAAAACAGAAAAAAAATACTCAGAAAAACAGAAAATATTACTCAGAAAAAATCAGGGAAAAAATCACTCAGAAAAACAGAAAATATTACTCAGAAAAAAACAGAAAAAATTACTCAGAAAAACAGAAAATATTACTCAGAAAAAACAGGGTAAAAAATCACTCAGAAAAACAGAAAATATTACTCAGAAAAAACAGGGGAAAAAATTATTCAGAAAAACAGAAAATATTACTCAGAAAAACAGAAAAAATTACTCAGAAAAACAGAAAATATTACTCAGAAAAACAGGGGAAAAAATCACTCAGAAAAACAAAAAAAAAATACTCAGAAAAACAGAAAATATGACTCAGAAGAACGGGAAAAAATCACTCAGAAAAACAGAAAAAAATACTCAGAAAAACAGAAAATATTACTCAGAAAAACAGAAAAAAAACTCAGAAAAACAGAAAATATTACTCAGAAAAACAGAAAAAAATTACTCAGAAAAACAGAAAATATTACTCAGAAAAACAGAAAAAATTACTCAGAAAAACAGAAAATATTACTCAGAAAAAACAGGGTAAAAAATTATTCAGAAAAACAGAAAATATTACTCAGAAAAACAGAAAAAATTACTCAGAAAAACAGAAAATATTACTCAGAAAAACAGGGGAAAAAATCACTCAGAAAAACAAAAAAAAAATACTCAGAAAAACAGAAAATATGACTCAGAAAAACAGGGGAAAAATCACTCAGAAAAACAGAAAAAAACCCTCAGAAAAACAGAAAATATTACTCAGAAAAACAGAAAAAAAAATCACTCAGAAAAACAGAAAAAAATACTCAGAAAAACAGAAAATATGACTCAGAAAAACAGGGGGAAAAAAATCACTCAGAAAAACAGAAAAAAACTCAGAAAAACAGAAAATATTACTCAGAAAAACAGAAAAAATTACTCAGAAAAACAGAAAATATTACTCAGAAAAAACGGAAAAAAATCACTCAGAAAAACAGAAAATATTACTCAGAAAAACAGGGCTTTTTTTATTTGTCAAGTGAATGCAATACGCTTCTGTACAAAAGTGCCTTGATGATGTCATTCTGTATGCAGCCTACCTATCAATTGTTTTTACGCTCATTAAGCACAGATATTATCTGATCAGAATTCTCCCATTGGTCTGAGAGTCACACACTTTAACCTTCCAGGACATGTTCACCAGCACCAGTTTTTTCTAATGGAAACCTGCGATGACCTTTGTTGCATTCACAGACTGTGACAGTCAGTAAAAACATAAAACAAAGATGTGACAGAAAGCAGGATGATGTGAGATGGGTCAAAGAATGAGCGGAGGGTTCACACACAGGATCTAAACAGATACAAGCTTTTTACAGCGAAAATAAAGTGTTTTAATGAGGGGGGGGCAGCCAGTCTCACTCCAGGTGTGAAATAGTACCTGCGCAACGTAAATTAAACATTAAAGTAAAATGCTGAGTCAGGGTAAGCAGAGGATGGCGGGGGGCGGGGGGGGGGGCAACAGGAGGGAGGAAGCTCTGACAAACCTGGCGTCATCAACCTCTTCCACCACCTCCTCCCTTTCCTCCCTCTCTCTCTCCTCCAACAGCTGCTGGAGTCTTCAGGGAGGGGTGAAGGGTCAAACGACAGAAGGAAGCAAGAGATGAACGGAGGAGGAAGAAAGAATGGAAGGAAGAATGATCAGAGGAAGCTCTGCACTCACAAAAACTCCACCCACTGCATCAACCCCCACCTCAGCTCCAACCTGGAGTCTCTGATGCTGCTCATTTCTCATCAGGTTATTCTCACAGTGAAACTCTTCTGTTTATCAGAGTCAGAATACTGTCACAACATCAGTCCACGTTATAAACATCAAGTGTGCAGGTAATTCATTGTTTCATGTCTGTAAATGATGCACATTAATTATTTAAGCATCTTTTAGCTACGTCGTGTCTCAGTTTACATCATGACTGAAGGTCTCTTTAAATATTCATGTTCCAATGTACAAAGTGTTTCTTATTCAAATAATCAAACAGTCAAAGTGAATTCTGGGTGAAGCAGGCGGTGATGCGCCTTTGAACAATGTTGAACGTTTTAAAAATCTCACAAAAAGTGTCGTTCCAGTTTGAAACTTATTCAGAAAGTATCCGCAGTCAGAAACAGTCGATTTTAGATTTTTAATTTTTAGTCCTCTTACCTTTTCTTTTTCTTCTTCTCTCGTTTCTTCAGCTTCTCCAGGTCTTTCTTGGCGAGTTCGATGATGTCAGAGGTCTCCTTTTCAGGTGCCAGCAGAGTGGAGGAGAAGGAGCCGGGTCCTCCGTACAGCGACTGGCGGTTGGAGGCACGAGACAGATTCTTCCTCAGATTCTCGTTCACAGCTTCACTCTCCAGGAGTTTGGCTCTGATGGAAGAATCCAGGGACACAAACAGGAAGATCACACGTGACCCAGAGCAGAGTTCAGGTGTTCTTGAGATATCGCGTTCACAAGAATGGGACAGACGGACAGGCGTATGGGCATATGTACGGACGGACAGACAAGCCGAAAACAAAATGGCGCAGAGCCATAAAAATGGTTATTTGACCCTGATGGAGTGAAGACGTAGAAATGAATCGGGGCACAGTTTGAATTTACTTCATCTCCAGTCGCAGATTTTTACCTGAGGTCTTCGATCTCTTTGATGTAACCTTGAATCATGTTTCCTATTTCTTCAGTTCCACCTTCACCTGGAAGACAGTCAGGACACTTTAAAATGAGACACAGGGAGAGACAAACTAAACATGTCTGTCCTGTATTGTGACTGAGCCAAGAGCAGAATCAAACACTTCACATCAGACATAAGAATAAAATAATGATAATAAAATGTGGAATATTTATTTGCCAATAATTAAAGAAAGACTTGATGAACGTGCAGGTTTGAACCGACCTGCCCTGGCGAGCGCCTGGTTGGCCTGGTCACTGAGCAGCTGGGTGAGCCGCGCCCTCTGGGCGTCGATGGTCTCCTGCATGGCCTTCACTCTCACCCTCAGGTTGCTGTTCTCCGTCTGCAGCATGGAGTTCTCGTGGAACATGTCGCTGAAGCTCTCCACGCCGTCCTCACCCATCAGGCGTTTACCCTGCAGGGAGGAGGAGACAGATCAGAAGACGACACCTCCCCTCGACATGAAATATGCCCTGCTTCATTTATCAGACTCCTCACCGTCTTGTACTCCATCAGCTCCATCTGCAGCCGAGCGATCTCCGTCCTCAGAGCGCTGATCTGCTGGCTGGCCTTGTCCTGGTTCACCATCACCTTGTTCTTGATGTTCCTCGCTCGGTTGGCGTACTTTAACGTGTTCAGCGTCTCCATGAAGTCCCGATCAGACGGGCTGATGCAGGCGATCATCACGGTTTGGCTGAAGCAACAAGGAGGCACGTGTGTAATCACATT